GATTTAATGAATGAATACCCAACTGCCTATTGGATTTCTCACCTCGATATCCATAGATCTCTCAAAAGTGAGCTCTTCATCTATCCCATTGGTAGCTTCTCAAAGTTGTCATTTCCCTAGTAGAGAAGCTACCATGATTGGATGGACTTAAGAAACCCTGAAAAGAAGGACAGTAGATGTCTCAAGGATAGCCTAAATGAACTGAAGTTATACCCTTCCCTTCCCCTGCATGCCACATCTAAGAACCTTAGAACAGGGGGCACCTGGGTGGCTCAGTCAGTTAAGCATTTGACTCTTGGTTTCAGCTCAGGTCATGATCTCAGAGTCGTGGGATCAAGCCCAGCATCAGGCTCTGTGCTCAGAATAGACATCTGGAAATATATAGGTCAGGACAAATTATGGAGGCCTTAAATGCCATGCCATATGTCTGAACTCTTAAATGGGCTTGGGGAGTTACTGACTGTCTTTAAGAAATGAAGTGACGTGATTGAACCTTAGTCTTAGGAGAAATCATGAAGGGTAGAGGAAAAGGTATAAGATTGTAGGCACAGACATACCTGGGGATCATTTCCATATTTGAAGTAGGAAGAACTCAACATGTGCAATGGGGAAGGAGAGAAAGGACACCAAAAAAACAAAACAAAACAAAACAAAACAGCTGACTCTAGAAAGTGATGTAAAATAATAGCAAACCCTCCTATAGAGCTTATTTAGTACCAGCTAAAGTTCTAAGTGCTTTCCATATATTAACCCATTTAACACTCACCCTATTATATAGTTACTATTATCTCTACTTAGAAGACGAGGAACTGAGATGTGAGAGGTCAAGTAGTTCGCCTAAACTTATAAAGCTAGTAAGCCACACAGTCAGATTTTAAACCAGGCAGGCTGACTCTGGCATTTGTACTCTCAACCATTTCTTGGCAAGAGAGGGGGCAAAGATCCTTGGGTTTCTAGCTCCTGCAGCCAAAGACACAGACTGAGATAAAAGCATGCTCAGTGCAAGTAGAAGATGGGATGGGATTAATGGAGGGCAGGGAAAGGAGTAATGAATTTTATTTTTGATCTGCTGATTTCAAGTGAACCTGAGCAACATGTGCAAATGTCTACTACCTGGGCTCTTGGAACCAAAGAAAGTAAAGTCTCCCTTCTTGCCGTTTTTGGTATCTGGCATTACGTGTTAGAGCTAATATCTTAATGATGCCCCAGTTTTTAACTCTACTTGATTCTAAAATATTTCCCTACAATTTCTATCTGTAATAATAGTCTGCTTTGTCAGTATACAACACTTGCAAACCCTGAAATCTTCCCATGATTTTTTAAACTAGGATGATTAGTTATTCTACTGAATTATTTCCAGATAAGATGGTTCTGATTTAATTTTCCCCTCTAATATGAAACAAGAAAATAACTGATGTCTGTGGTCACTTCACTGTGGCTTCAGTAAGGTACACTCCAAATAGCATGGAAATAAGATACCCTTCAAAGCAATATTATCTTTTTTGTTTGTAAAGATTTTATTTATTTATTTGACAGAGAGAGAAAGACAGCAAGAGAGGGAACACAAGCAGGGGGAATGGGAGAGGGAGAAGCAGGCTTCCTCCTGAGCAGGGAGCCTGATGCGGGGCTCGATCCTAGGTCCCTGGGATCACCACCTGAGTCGAAGGCAGCCTCTTAACGACTGAGCCACCCAGGCGCCGCAAAGCAATATTATCTTTACTGTGATGTTTTATACACAATTATTTAGAACAGAGGTACATAAATTAACCTACAGACACTGACATCCCCCTCAAATGGCTGAGGCAGGCCAGATCGAGTGAGTTCATTGACATGTCTAGTTGACATATCTAAAGTGAAAAGTGTGTCCCTTCAATGGGTAGTTGCTCAGCTATGAAGCATTGAGAAAGAGAGAGGTCAGGGAGGGAATCTTTTTTAGTTCCCTCCAGGGATTGTTGTAAAAGAATTTTATGGTCTCACTGGCAAGATGAATGCAATAAACTGTCAGCCTAATTTCATTAAATATTCTAATCTTCATACCCTTTGTTCTTATTCCAGTGACCAAAAAACCTTATAATCATGTTTCCAACAAAAGATCTGCCTCTAGAGCAAAAATTTTCTCATTTACTAACATGGATAACTTGGTTCCAGTAGGCAAGATAGCAAATAGCTACAACTCCCCGCAGAAAACTCCTGCATGGACATAGATGGAAAATTCCTGGCCCTAAACCGTAGAGGCAGATAGAGGATGAATACTTGCCTCAGTGTTGGTGTAGCACGAATTTCAAGATCTGGAATAGGGCCATAAGGCCAGTGACAAGGCTAGCTAAGCGGGGAATCATTACCTGATATGGTTGTAGAAGCTGTTTTCTTGGTTGCTACCATGGCTAAGGATAGAAAGACCCCAGTTCTATACTCCTCCAACCTGGCAAATATCTTACTCCACATGGGTTAGCAAGACCACCAAGCATGCCTCCCTAAGAAAATGGAAGGCAGGGGCACCTGGATGGCTCAGTCGGTTAAGCATCTGCCTTTGGCTCGGGTCATGATCCCAGGGTCCTGGGATTGAGCCCCACATCAGGCTCCTAGCTCAGTGGGGAGTCTGCTTCTCCCTCTCTCTCTGCCCTGCTTATTCTCTCTCTCTTAAAAAAAAAAAATGGAAGGCAATGGGGACTGCTATTTTAAGTGGCAGAAACAGCTAGTGGTCCACTAAAATTTGTACTCTCCTGCTGTTGGATAGATTTGCACTGGCAGGAAGATTTCCTGGCCGGGACTACACTTCCCAGCCTCTCTTGCACTTAGATATAATCAGGTGACTTAATCATCAACAAAATGCTAGCAGAAGGGATGTGTGTCTCTTCTAGACCATAGCTTTTCAGAAAGTTCTTCAGCCTTCTCTACACACTCTTCTCCTTCAGGCCCCTGGATATCAGTGACTAAAGAGCCCTGAAAAACAGCAGAACTACAAAATGGAGGAATCCTGCAACTCAGAATCACCACCCAGAGAAAAGCTATTCACTGACCACAAACAGGGGATACATAACACTGCTTCATGAATGAAAAAGAAATATCTATTTAAAGCAAGACATGAAGAATTAAAAACATCTGAATTTAAATTAGGGAGGAAGAAGGGATAATAATATGTAGTCCCCAAAATATATTCTGTGGTCCTCATGGTGACAGTATTAACAAGCAATTAGTCTCTATTTTAATCATTAGCACATAATCAGTTCGTTACATTACTTTGGGCATACACTGGTAGACTTGTGTTCATCAAAGAATAATAAGGACATTAATTTTCAAACAAGAAAAAAAAGAAAAGGAAATATCTATTGTATGAGCTTTTATAAATTTTAGGGTTTGTTTACCACAGCAAACATTACCCTAACATGCCAAGTGTATGTCCTCTACATTGCTTAGTAGCCTCTGAGAATAAACTGCTAACAGTGACTGAACTGAGAGCTGAATTGCCACTCTCTCTCATCCTCAAGCCCAGAGGAGGTCCTCTGATCTGGCCTCAGCAGATGTGAGAATTGCATTCTTCATAGTAGATGAATGGCTTGGCATTCCAGTTTTAGCATCAGTTGCTATGAGCCTGCCCAACGTAGGTCTGCCTTAAGAGATGGACCTACTCTCGGTGCGCTGACACATTCAGATCCTTGAGGCTGGAATGCCTCCACACACTCTTGGGAGTGTTATTTCTCTCCTACACATGCCTGGGAGGCACATACATTTTCTTGGTACTTCCTTCATGTTATCAGGACTTTAAGGGCAAGAAGATCCAAGAAGGCCCAGCAATCAAAAATCACAAATTATGATGGTCAACTAGAGATGGACAAATAAACAAAAAGCACTGGAAATATACAAGCTGGTATCTCTATCCCCTGCTACTTGAAGTGTTGTTACCTGAAGACCAGAGGCATCAACATCACAGGGAAGCTTGTTAGAAAGGCGAAAGTTCAAACCCCACTCCAGCCTTCTGAATCAGAATTAAAATTTTAACAAGATCTTCCAGCGATTTGGGGGCTCATTAAAGTTTGAAAAGCCCTGCATTTCATCTCCTCTCCCACCTCACTTCTCCAAGATGAAGGCCTGTGGTTATATGTGTAAACTTCCAGCCACCTTTGTTTCCTGGGAAGTAAATATTAGAGGAAGACAAATGGGTCAGGAAACCTTGTATCATCTGCCCTGTGGAGGAGCCTAAAAGTGGGTTCCAAAGATGAATTCCCAAAACAGTTTCGAAGTCTTCCTCATTAGTGTACCCTAAAGCTCCAAGGCTTCTCATAGGCACGTCGATTTCCCTGCGTACTGCTTTATGTCCTGATAGGCTGGCCCAGGAAGTGATCCCACTCCATGAAAGCCTAGCCTTCTACCAAGAGGGCCAACTGAGCTCACCTTCTTTTTGTCACCAGAATCACTTATGTCCCCTGTTCATGCATGTGTGGGCATTTGTTGACTTTAAATCCCTAGATCAAAATATGATGATAGAAAAAAAAGGGCCATTAAATTTCAGAATAAAATAAATTTTATTTGTATTCACCAAGAGACACATTAAAATAAGTAAGCTCAGGAAATTTTACAAAGTCAGATGTTCAATCTTTTTATCATCACCCCCTGCTAAAGACTGCAAAGACAGGGAATAAGTAAAGATGTGGGGAAACATCTACATTTACCCCTATAAGAGAAACAGCTGTTACAAGAGGTACATTATTTCACCTAAGAACCACTTTCCAGTCTCACTTCATGGCTTCCTTCCTTCCTTCTGTTCTTCCTTTCTTTCTGATTTAAAAATATATCCCCAGGCATTTAAGCCAATGAATATGTTCCAGGTCATTAAGTAAAATGACTGAAGATCTATTGCTTTTAAAATCCTAGATCTTTCAGAAAATTTAGTTTACACCTTATCAAAAATCTATAGCATTGGACTTCTTTCAAAGTCATTCCACTCTCTGAGAGTCCCCAATTTCCAAAAGAATTAGTAGACAGAAAGTCATAATCTCCAGGATTTTCTCATCATTAAAATGAAATAGGCATCGGTGTCAATAGAAGCACTAACACCAGCGTAATAGTTCAAAAATTCTTCTTTTGAAACCTGAAAGGGATAAAAGGCAGGGGAAAAAGAAGGAAATGGTGTCAAAATATGTGAGTCATAGTAAAGCATTTTACATTCTCCCTGAAATGTTTTCTGTGGAGTCTGATTTGCCACTGGCAATCAAGCAGAGTCAGGTAATTGGGGATCTGGGAACCCGGCTTGCCTCTCTCCTCTGAGGTGGGGCATTTGCAAGGTCTGCTAAAGACCCACCTGCCCACTGGCCATCAGTTTTTGCATTAAGATAAAAATGTTTAGAGCTGTACTATCCAATACAAGTAGCCACTAATCACATATGGCTTTTTAAATTTAAATTTGTTAAAATTAAACATAATGAAAAATTCAATTCCTCAGATTGCACTAGCCACATCTCAATTGCTCAGTAGCCATATGTGGCTAGTGGTTGACATCTTGGAGAGCACAGATCTAGAACATTTCCATCATCACAGAAGGTCTTATGGGGACAGCACTACTCTAGAGCATACTTTGTATGATTATACTTATGATTATTATTACTTTAGAATAGAAAAATTTATAGCATAAATACACAGATAAAAAAACACTTTAAAGAAAGAAAGCTCAGACCAGTCACATCAATAAGGGATAGAACTAGAGAATGGGGCACTTCCCAGGATCCTTGGACACCCAGGAATCCGCAATGCCTGGGATTCAATAGCAGGATGCAAGGCACTAGCCGTACAGGAGGTGCTAGAAGGCAAACTTCTCATTTTGGTCAGGTTGTGTGTTACTGTTTCATAATTGGCCCTGTGCATCCTATAATGGGCAATTAAGTTAAAAGAGCAGAAATCAGCCCCTAGGTTCCATTCCTTTCTCTTCCCTCTTAACCTCCCCTGTTCCTTAATACCAGCACACAGAATATACTCTACTCCCCACAGTCCTAGGGGTACCACGCAGAGGCTGGGCATTGTGAGAACTTGCTTGGCTTGCTAGACGGGAGCAGTTCAACCCTGCAGGAAAAGGAATATTGACATCAAATTTTCAAACTCTCATTCTTGGCTGTCAAAATAACTGGGGGCGGGGGGGGGGGAGTTACATTTTGTCCTTTTAAAAACATGAGCAAGTACAATTTGAACAGGGCCTTATCATTTTCAAAGAAGAAACTTCATCACCTTCAACTGAAATATCACACAAGTAACATTTTTAAATGATCCAAAAGCACCCTCTGGGAAGTAAACTTTTAGAGAAGCATGATATGTAACATGTTAGCTATTAAGAAGAAAAATATTTTGGAAAGACTTTAAAACAGAAACAAAAGCTAGATGAATTCTCTTGGTACAAGAGTTGTTAATGTTTCAAGCCTTCGGTTGAAGAAATTCTATTACATTAGAAAATCATGTGAATGGCAAAGCACAGTACGATAATGTGATAAATTGACAAAGTTGGTATTAGATATTAAACCATATCTAACTTTGTAGCTCAAAATCTTCTCAATTTCTGGTTCCTCGAAGCAATATCCTAACTGTTGCCATTATGACAAATTCTTGCTTTCAATGCATACATAGCTTACCACTACAAGCATGTATAGCTCTTTAAACAGAATATTTGAAAATTTATATCATAAATGTCACGGAAATTCTGCTTTATAAAACATTGTTTTTCAGCTTCAATTTCTATTAAAGATACTATCTGGATAAGATTTACATATAGGAACTCCTCACTATCTAGTAAGTAGTTTATGTCACACTTAGGTAAATAAAGTATTACCAATGAACAATTGATCTAGGGCCGTTTTCAGATATGTGGGAACTTTTTATGACTAGCATATTAATTAACATTTATGTGCAAATAGGTATCTCCAAGTACCTGTAAAACATATGTGCACATAGGCAGGCACAGCTCTTATAATCTTTATATACTGATTTGCTTAACAAGCCATTCTTTTTAATATAGATGAAACAGAAGTAAATTTTCACTCAAACCCTATCTAAGTGAGCTCAATTAGAGAAGCTTAAATTAATGGTGATTTACTATATTTACCGTGCAGCTTCAAAGATAATCTTAAATAAATGGATGTGGAATGATATTGCTAAATGAGATTTTAGGCATGACTAAGGATGAAACCTGTGGAACAGAGTTTATTCCACAGTCCCCTTGGAAACTAAAAGAATGATCTGGGTTTCAGAAGGTAACGCCTGGCATTTGGTAATGCCCTGCGTTTGTGCTGCACTTTATCCCATCAAGGTGGAAGCACTCGGAGGCTCACTATAACCCCAGCAAGAGCAAACTACTCTGCCATCTGTCATTTTCTCTCAATTACAGGTTCCCTTTCTGTTCTAAGTCTCTCTCAGAGCACTGACAGTCATCAGTTCTGCATGTGGCCTGAGTGTTTCTAGGAGACCAGCAACTTAAACCTTTCAAGTTTAAGATCAAGATGTTCCCAGAATCAATACCAGTGTCTGAGTGCCAAGTGCTAAGGCTTATAAAGAAAAAGTTGCTCGTCTTTCATGACAGAATTACAAACTACATACTCAGATGTTGCTTCGAAATTTCAGGTGCTTGAGCTCTAAGTTACAGGGTCCCTCTTAAATTTATTATGGGGTCTCATGCAGAATGAAACATCTGAGCCACGTGCCACGTGTCTCCATGTTGGGAGCAAGAGTGGGAACAGGAAACTCATGGTGCTCACAAGAACTTCAGTGAAACAGAAATTGTGTCAACCGTGTTCAGTGGCTATTAGAATTTGTATCATACTCCAGAGAAATCATAAACAAATAAGTTCCATTTATGAACAGTAAGAAGAAATCTAGAACAAAAGAAAATAGGCCAGTACATTTTGAGATTTTTCTTTCCCTGATACGATATACCTTTCTGGTTCTTGCAAGGTCCATTATCAAAACCTCAGTTACTGGTCCATGGCTCATATTTTCGGTGGGTTCACTCCTAAAGAGCACCTTTCACTCTATTTTGCTGAGGGAAGATACTGGCTTTGGCGAAGCAGGTGTGAAAATAAAACAAGAAGGTCATGCTATTCTCAGAGAGGAAGAACTGCTTCACCACAAGCTTCTCACCGCACCAACTGAGGTGGCAAAAGAACTCTTCTCACACAACAGTGTTCTCAGAAACCCCATCAATCATTTGTTTATGTTTCTTTCAACAGATTTCACCCGTCATCTGTTTTACAAGACATAATTTTTGGGGATTCATTTAGTGAGTTTTTTTTTTTTTTATGACAAGGAAAAAACTAGTTATCTCTATCAAAGTTATGTAGCTTCCACATCAGCAACTTGGAGTAGAACTACGCTTAGAAACATTGACTTCCAAAGGATCAATTATATGAAGATAACATTATATGACAACCTATCAGGTCTTTTGGCACTTTTGTTTTTCCTTTAATCATAAGCATTTCTAAAATTTAAAACTCCACTGCTTCTTTCAACAAGCTTTTAATTTACAAGAACAGCCTCTAATTTCCAGGAAAGCAAGTTTGTTAACTGATCTGAGAAACTGGAATTTGTGGGGGTTTTCATTCTATGCCCCAGAGTGCTGTGCATAAATCCAAAAAGGTATACCATTCAGAGGGTGTTAGTAGAATTTCATAAAGGAGCAGAAGGGCACCCACACACCAGTCAAGAATACATATTTGGTTAATTTCATCTCTCCACTTGATTAAACATCAGCAGAACAAATTGCATCTATAGGTTGCCTAAAGAGGGTTGAATCATTACCTACTTGTACTCTCATGGCTCAGTGAGGCAATCCACACTGGCCAAGAGAAGTGAAGGGCTGACACAATGATCTGCCTCCAAGAATAGAGGGGTATTTTCCTGGCAGTGTCTTGATAGATTGCCTACATTCATTAAATTTACTACATGGTCCTACAGCACACTGCTATATAAAGGGCCCCAACTATCCTGGCTTCAGTGCCTACGCTTCCCCTCCTCTCTGATCTCTTAACTGGGGGCTTTTAGTTTGGTTTCAAAGCCAGTGGTTTGGTTTGCATTTACCCTAGCCCCTTCCTCTATCCCCACAGCCTAGGGTAGAACAGGGCACATAGGAGTGACTCAATAAATATTTACCAACGGGATGTATTCAACCTAAAACTGTAATGTGACAAAGCCAATCTACAGCCTACTTGGTGGGGACCCAGCTCTACTTTAAAAAGCTGCTCTTAGCTTTGAAGCTGCTCTTAGTATGAAGTGTTGCTCCATGCTGCCACCAAACCACAAAGAGCCAGGCATCATCCTCCAGAGTGCCATTTGGGTCTGGGACAAAATCTTATCAAGGTTTGAATGTCTAGGAAAATTAGCCGTGCCGATGGGCTGGAAGAATTCTGCCTCAGGCTACAATACCAATGCTCTGGGATTACTCACTTGCACTCTGAATGGAATTCAGGCAGGATGGGAACCAGCCCTTAAAGAAGTTGGTTAAGGTCAGGCCTCCATTCTTGCCTAGGTTTGCCTTTGGGGGGGAGTTAGAACTCAGATTCAGTACTGATATTGATGGCTACTTCTGGCCAATCCTGATTCTCCGAATTTTTACATACACTGTCCTGTTTCATGAAAAGCTGCTAAGCTCACATCCTCTTCTCTTTGGCTTGTTACTTCTTACCTGAGGTCCAGACCCCACAAATAAGGTGCTCCTAAGCGTTGGGGGTATTTTATTGTGTTTTATCTTCTGACCTCGGTATTTGCTTTTTAAATTGCAAATGGAGTAATATTTAAATTGTGTAAGTTAAATAAACAGAAAATATATCCAGAAAAGTGTTGTTAGCAAATGCTTTTTCTTAAATGACCCTTTGTTTCTCCCACTGCTACCAGAAGGAGTGAGAGTTAAATAATGAGTGAGTCCTGACTAGGCCAGAAATCACTGGCCTAGAAGACTCAGAATAGGAGTAGAGTGATCCTTAACCATCAGGTTGTTAGATCTTGTTTATGGGGGGCAAGAGGACCTTGGTGGAATCCTCGCTTGTGGGCCCAGAACCTGACCTGCCAGAAGGGAGACAACTGAATGTGGCCAAATACACTCTGAGGTACAGGTTATCTGAAATCTGATAGCTGTGCCCCAATTAGACAGGAAGCAAGAGTACGACTGGGTAAGACGAAGCTGATAGCTACAACATAGTCCTTGTTCAGAATCACATGCTAATGCTATGGTCCCAGTTAAGCAGAGGCATGAGTCATTCCCAAAATCAAAGACACAAATCTATCTAGAGCAGTAAGCTTGAAATCATGGCTAGGAAACCAGAGACCTCTCCTTAGCCATAATCTGCAAGGTGCAGGTTGCAGAAACCATGGATTTTTTTCCTGTACCTTCCATCATAATCTCCTCTAGATTTCTACCTCATTTCTACATATTTCTTCTTAACACTTGGCATCTTTTGGCCTGCCAATCTCTATATAAGGCTAAATAATAAAGCCAGGGGAAAGCCAGACTTGTGCAATTAATTTCTGAAAAAACAGCTTCCCACAATTTGGGAATGCTCCCATCCTCAAGAAAAAGGTCACTTGTCCAACCTGTCATCAGAGTAAGTGGGAGATCAGCTTCTTGACAACAAACAAATTGCTGTGATTCTCATCTGGAAACACCTGCTTTCACAAATTTTAAATCAATGTGTATCTTGATCTCCACTTCCAACTCGGTGAGATAAAAAGTGAACAAGTGAATGGTACAAAATACGGCAACTGTGTTTGGTTGACCCTAAGCCCAGAGCCACTTCAATACGTGGGATCTTAAAGGGGACTATTAACCCAATCCATGTCCCCGAACCAGGGGATGAATGCAGCCAGGGACAGAGGTGACAAAAAGGACCGTCCTTGAGTAACAAGGCAGGTGGTCATTATCTCCAACACCATATCCAAAGGGCTGGTCACTGTGCTTTTACCTCTGGCCTCAGACACAGAACACACAGAGGGACAGTGGTGTTTTCAATATCTATTTGCTAGCAGCTGGGGCTGCCTTTGCTTGGAAGCCTTTCATGGGGAGAGTCGCACACATTGACAATATGAAGCCAGAGCTTAGAGCTGGAAAGAGAACACTTTGGGCCACGAAGTGTCAAGATGGAAAACCCTCTTTGGAGTAGGCCTGCTACCCTTGTCTATGTCATGCCCCACCCCCTTGTACTGGTGGGAATATCAACATTATAGGCCCATGGCGGGGAGGGGGAAGATGAACATTCTGCTGGACACAGGTTTGCTTATGTGGTCTGCCCACTCACAGGGCAAGAGGTCCCACATAAAATCTGAGAGCACAGCACAGCCTCAAACTTTAACCACACAGACGGTCCCAGCCCTACTGCTCAAGGAAATGGCCTCCCCTCCCACAGACACTTTAGATGACCCAAAAATGTCATTCTAAATCTATTCACCGAACTGAGGCTTCCCTAAACCACTGGCAGAGAAACTCAAGATTCAGGTATAAAAATTGAGGCTAATGTGTGGTTCTCTTCCAGGCCCCAATTTGGAACTGAAGCACTTATAAAGATTTAAAGTCAGTTATAAAAACAGGTGAATTCTCCCACCTAGAAATGGACCATCTATAAAGGAAGTGGAGAAAGACTGTGGGTGTGTGGGTGGGGATTGTAATTAAAGTAGTCAAACTTTTATTCATGGCCAAGGAAGGTACCTATGTTTATTAGACATGTGTATGCATCCCAGACCGGGCTCTTGTAGCTTTTTGAATCTTATTTTATTTAATTCCTCTAGTAGAGCTAAGGAAACAGCTTCAGAGAAGTGACGTACATACTGTCATTTCTGCCCTAGAAAATGCAGTGTGTCGACACGAAAGAAACGCTGGGGTGAACACGAAATCAAATGTGATTCTGGTCTGGGGCTGATGTTTAACCATTTGGAGCCACGTGGCTTTACCCAAGGCCCCGGTCCCGGGGTCCTACATTTAGAGCTTCCAGGCAGTTCTCATCATGACAATGAAATACACATCGGTGTCAATGGATGCGCTCACCCCTGCATAGTAGTTCATAAACTCCTCGGGGGTCACCTGCAGTGGAAAAGTCAGAAACAAAAACAAAACTTTGCTTCCCACCACTTCAATGGAGGCCCATCTCCAGTACCTGTAAATGGGAGGGAAACTTTGGTCAAGGCTTTTTCGTGACACAGATCAAGAAGAGAGCTCAGACAAGAGGAAACAGTCAAGTTGAGGATGACCGTGAGGGGTACAGAGGGGAAGATGTGTAGAAAGTCAAAAATTTCCAGACCAACCTAAATGGAAAGTGAGATACAGGTTCTCGCCTTTCTTTAAGAGCAGGAGCCCATCTGTTTGGATAAGTGCAACTGAAACTCAGAATAAGAAACAAGTTTCTTTAGCGGTAGTTAGTACGAGCTTTCTGTGACACGTCAGAAATAGCGCCTCAGGTTCTGGGTCAGGGCAAATAACGTTTCACCTTTCAGAAAGTGGGATTCTGTCCTGTGGATAAAGAAATAGATTTCTAGTGAAGTACTCCATGGCTTCATGCTTTTTTAAGATAGAACTTACTGGTTTCGAGGCACAAAGTGAGTAAAAAAAAAAAAAAAAAAGGCACCCGCTGCTCCATGCCTCCCTGCCTCACCCAGGGTGGGTGCTCTCTCCCTCCTGTGCCTATAACGGTCTCTTTGGAATATCAATTAATGTGTTTACCTAGGCTAGAATTTTATATTAGTTTCATTTTAGAAAGAAGAAACAATAGCTGTCAATCTTATTTTTGACCAGGTGTAGGCAATATGTACACTGTAGTTCAACCATACTGGCTGACGTGACGGGGTGAGTCAGGGAAAGAACTGTCTTCCTGTTTGGCTGAGCTCTCTAACCAATCAGTTTAGCCCAAAGTACAGCCTGGCTTACAGGGGGGGACACGGAGACAATAATGATGGCCGTTTAAGAAACGGATTGTTCTCGAGTGAGTCCTCAATTTGAAGTGTCGCAAGGGATTAAAAACATCACAAAAATTGAAACCCAGAAACAATTCAAAACCCCTCTTCCACAGAGTGCCCACCTATATCTTCTAAGAGTCATAGGAGCTGATTAACTCACTTAACCTTTTTTTGCTGCAATCAGAAGTGAACAGAGAAAAAAAAGTCACAGAACCCATATTTCTCTCTCTGTACCTACCCCTCACACAGCCCCAAAAGAGTAAAATGCAGAAGGAAGGAAGTCATTGGACTGAACTAATAGTTAAGCTGCGCTTTTCAGTGGCCTAGAAGTAGAAGTAAATATGTGCATAGCTTTTACTAAAATTAGAATACCATCAATGTTCTCCTTTCTTCAATCTCTTTACTTACTACATCCTCCTTTGCATCCCCCCTTTACCTAGCATCAGACCCCATCTGAGAGTCAGGTCACATAAAACTGGACATCAGAGCTAAGACATTTGATCACTCCAGAAAAGGCCATCAGTTATTCTTAGTGAGGTGTCTGCTTGTTTCCTGAGACTCAACTTATACTGAGGAGAGCCTGAATCACAAATCCCATGATTTCCCCAAGTTTGCCTTCAGCCTAGCAAATCACTTTTTGGTAATAATGACTACTAAATTATTTTGTTGGACATTAGTAAAAAGTAAGAAAGTGGACACCCCTGCCCTTGGTCAGCCTCTTGACTATGCCACCCTTAGTGATAGAATATTTATCATATAATGGAGAAGGTCCCACATGGGAGCAATGGAAATATTTGAGTCATGATACAGAATACAGTACCTTTTTCTCTGCTTAAGACTGATTTAAAAAAATCATAAAATAAGTTTAGGTTATTTATATACACTCAGTAATATATTTAAAATAATTTTAATTACTAAAAAAAGTCTTCTATGAGATAGACTAGACAACAAGCCCCATATTCTCTCAAAGGCTAATCTGCTTCTGAGAGATTTTTTAAAAAATATTTGTAATTGTAAAATAACATATATAAATGAAAACTTTTTCATACCTAGATACTAAAAAAATAAGAAGTGGAAGTTTCACCCAACCAGGGTGGGGTTTAGAGACAGAAAAGGAGAGAGCGTGGCGCCTGAGTGGTCCAGTTGGTTAAGCGTCTGACTCTTGATTTTGGCTCAGGTCGTGATCTCAGGATCATGAGATCGAGCCCTACCTTGGGCTCCATGCTCAGCAGGGAGTCTGCTTGAGATTCTCTCTCTCCCTCTGCCTGTGCCCCTCCCCCTGCTCACACGCTTTCTCTCCCTCTCTCTCTCTCTCTCTCAAATAAATAGATGAATCTTAAAAAAAAAAAAAAGAATCAGAGTGAAAAATGTTCACTTCATACATTATTTGGTTGCTTTCATACCTCCATTCACATGGTTTCCGGTGCACAGGGTGCTCTGAGGGTAGGATGTGGAGATTATTAGTACAGGGTCCATTATGTCAAAATGCATGACTCCTGTAAACCCCAGGAGCCTTCACGACTACTTGAGAGCTTAGCCCAGACTACTAAAAGTTCACAAATTTGAGTATAATACTTAGTTGAGGAGTCTACTAAATTTCTTGCCTTATTTTAAATTCTGTCTTACTTGGATATCAGTTATATTTTTTAACCATAAATGAGTGCACTGGCTTCAAACGTAGCTATGCTTCACCATAAGAAATCTTAATGTGTAAAACAACTCAATTTGGAAAAGATAAGTTAAGAACTAATTCTTCTGTTTATAAAAGAATTTACCATGGAGTTTCTTTACACCCAACAGTTCCTTGCGCGTTTGAAATATGATTCAATGTACAAAAGTCTGAATCACACATCACTTTTCAGAAACATTTTCATTATGTCTTTCGGTGAGATCTCCCTGTAAAACCCTTAGCACAATACCCAGTAGATAAGCCGTCAAAAAATGATCCGGATCCATAATTATGCCAATGAGGTTCATGTCCATATTTTATGTAGTAATTAGAAAGAGGCACTTCTGAATCTTTTAGAGACAAGGATCTCAAATATAAATGTGAATAAGCGTCATCTGGAGCACTTACTAAAATTGCAAATCCTTGATCTCCACCTAAAAATAATCAGATTCTGTAGTTCCGGGGGGCACCCCGCAAGGTACATTATTAAAACATACCCCCAGATGATGATCATGCACAGTCAGCTGGGTATTAATACAGGGTCTGTGATATTCAGGTGATAGCAAATGCTGTAACTGCTAAAAACCCCAGTGACCTTTATGAGTATTTGAGAACTTAAGATGGCTTGTTAAAATAAATGTCAAAAGGGACAGGGGTGGGAACTTTAAATCAGCTGAATCATAACAACCGGCCACTTTGACTTGGGTTAGAGCAAAGGGCAGCTGAGGTTTCCCCTGGCAATGAGGAGAAGGAACCACCTGCAGAGAGAAGGCAAGTACACGCTGGGATCGCATGTAGAGGTGGGCTAATTTGGGGGAAATGGCAGTTGACTATTTTTCCACTGCCATTTCAGAGATCAAAGGCCAGCAATGTTGGAAGAAAACATATGGTTCAGTTCTGTTATTTCTGTCCCTAAGTATTAGGCTGCCCTACAGAATCTAGAGCCCCCCCCCCTTTCTTTTAATCCACCTCTGTAATCACCTCAACTAAAAAGAAGGGTATTTGTCCATCCCCAGCAGGAAAATGTCAGCAGGAAGGAAATAAAAGTTTGCCTTCCTAGTCCCCTAACCCCTTGCTAATAAGACTCACCATGAAGTTTCATAGAAAAGTTGGGGGAAATTCCCTTCAGGAGGGGAAGCCTTGTTTCCTATTCACATCATTGCCATCTTTTCTTCCTGCCCAATGCCCTACTACTCCAACCTGTGTGACACAGGGGAGTAAGGAAGAACCGTCCCCAGGGTTCTGCTGCTCTGACTGTCAGCCAAGGAGAACACTCCCTTCCCCATCATCAGAGCCTCTAAGACACTTAACAGCTGAACTGGGGCCAAGTTCAAAAGTCCAATCACGGCTGTTGACAAAAGCCATCTCAGCCTGGACACAGTCGCAGAGATACAACGCCTTACCCTACCAAGCTATGCATTTGTAACTTGAAGATACCAGTTAATGGAGGTGGGGTTGTGACTTTTGTTCTTAAGTTCATTGTAGTTTCGAAATGCAAGTTAATCTCAAAGCCCACTATAGAGGAAATCAAAGTAAATTCTGTTCCCTGACATTCCCTTCACTGAAAGCCTCCCTTAAATGGCATTCCTACACAGCAAAATGTGATGACAATGTTGTGAGGATGAGTGTGAAAAGCACTGCCACCTCCTGAAACACCTTGTGAATCATATTCCAAAAAATTAAATTATGGTTTCATTTTGAAGTTCAATAGGCTTTGTTGTAGTCTAGTACATTGGAATGTGGCTGGCTAAGTATGGTAACCATGAAACAGAGTGTTAAATCAAAATATCACATTCTCCAGACGATGGGTGTTTAGCTGTATGTGGATCCCTTACCAATATATTGTGCACACATATATCTTATCACTTTCTCTCCCAACTTTCTAGATAGTCTCTGAGGAAATATTTTACCTCTATTTATAAAGAATATGTTATACGTATTTCTTAAGGCTTTGGACCTATTTCCTAATTACAATTACAAATTTGACAAAAGAAATTCCACTTAAGCTCCTGTACTTACCAATCCGTCTTTGTCATAGGGTGAATCAAAGTTATCCAGAAATTTCCTGAATACTTGTTCCTCGGTCCATTCTCCATTCTGATACTTAGGGTGGTGTTTTGCGTTATATACCTCACGAAGATCTTCAATTGTTATAACTCCGTCTCCAGTCTTGTCTAACTTCCTAAAAGCTTGCATAATTACCTCTTTTCTGGCTCTAGACATGGGAGGCTAGGTAAATAGAAAACAATAGACACACAGACAACACAAGTAAATGAGCTTGTTTTGTACCATACATCATGAAATAGCTGCTTCCTCTCAGGGTTGCATGAAATGGTCTGCACGTTTGTTTGTTAACAAACATTTTAACAAATGTTTGTTAAACAACATTCATGACAATTACTCCAAAAAGTCCCTAAACCTGTTATCAGTCTCCTTCCCACCTCCTCTACAGTACACTGACAACTTCTGAAAACAAAACCTCAAAATAGCCAACCCAAACCATGTGAAAGCCAAACTCAGCAGATACACTGATTCATGAGGCCACTTACTCTTAACGTAAGAAGAAATTCATTGAAGTCTATTGTTCCATTTCCATCTTTATCAAACCTCCGGAAGAGCTCTTCTGCCTCTTCCTTTTCCATGACCACGGCATAATCATTTAGCCCTTTCACAAATTCTTTGAAGTCAAGGGTTCGGTTATTATTGTCATCCATAATTCGAAACACTCTAAAGAAAATACACACATACACACAAAGAGAGAAAGAAAAAAAAAAAACAGAGAACAAGGTGTAAGGATAAAGATTTAAAAATAAACCACTTTCAAGGTTTTTCAAAGTAAAATGCAGAAGCCCTAGATTCTGTTCTCTACCCTCCTTCCAAAATTGGAGAGCCTCTTCCCAGCATCTCATAAAATAAGACGTACTATGTGATTCTAATTCTATCACATTCTGAAAAAGGCAAAGTTATAGAGACAGTAAAAAGACAAGGGGAAGGGGAGAAGAGAATAGGCAGAGCACAGGGGATTTTTAGGGCACTTAAACTATTCTGTATGATTTTATAATGGTGGATACATGACCCTATGCACTTGCTAATGCCCACAGAACTTTATTTTTTTTATTTTTATTTTTTTTAAAGATTTTTTTTATTTATTTATTTGAGAGAGAGAATGAGATAGAGAGCATGAGAGGGGGGAGGGTCAGAGGGAGAAGCAGACTCCCTGCTCAGCAGGGAGCCCGATGCGGGACTCGATCCCGGGACTCCAGGATCATGACCTGAGCCGAAGGCAGTCACTTAACCAACTGAGCCACCCAGGGACCCCCACAGAACTTTATAGTACAAAGAGTAAACCCATTTTAATGTGTACAGATTTTCAAAAAATTATTTAGGAGGTCAGGAGAATTTAACTTAAGCAGACAGTGATAAGAGAACCTAACTGTATGACAAAAGTTTGAAACAATCTCACTGAAGGTGGGGGTGGGGTATGCTGACTTAAGTACCTGTGGAAATGGGTAGAGTCTGTAGGACCAAGGGGCAAGGAACCACACATAAGCACTGAACTCTGGTTGATAAAGATATTGCCCATGGAGATTTGAGTTAACAATTCTGATATGCTGTAAGGTATACTGGAATTGAACAATTAAGTAAACAGATGGCAGATAGTGGAAGCTAGGTGTATCACTGTTGAAATGGGAATTTAGATAAGCTAGTTAAGTGTCTGACTCTTGATTTTGGCTCGGTCATGATCTCAGGGCGGTGGGATGATCGAGCCCTGCGTTGGGCTCTGCACTCAGTGCAGAGTCTGCTTGTCCCTTTCCCTCCCCCGCTCTCCCCCCACCCCCTGCCCACCGCTTGGACTCTCTCTCGAGTAAATAAATGAATAAATAAATAAATAAAATCTTTAAAAAAATGGGGAGAGAGATAAGGCACAGGATCTGACCACTGGAGGCTAACAGTCTCTTTCCCCTTGGATTTCCTGGTCTTGAGGACTTCTCACGCTATCAGAGGGTCCGAGGACAGGCCTTATCGAGCTGGGGGGGGATATTCACTGCAGTGGGATTCTCTCCCATGGCCGCCCCAGAGGTGAGCAAGACCAGACTGCCTGAGAACAACCTCCTCCCTCTTCCACACCCGCCGCTGTTGTCACAGCTGCTGGGAGTGTCTCTCTCCCTGCCCTGCTGGATGTCTCCGGGACCTGGGCATGCCTCTCCCTTCACCTCCAGCTGTCCCAGTAGCTGTACTCTTCTTGTCGCAGACACAGCCTTGCTGAATCTGCGACGAAGACCTAAAAATTGTCACAAGGGACTTCAGAGATCACTTCTTCCAAAGTGCATTTTACAACTAGGGAACGGAGACCCGAGGAGGCCAAGACTTGCTCAAGGTCATAGAGCGGGTAATAGCCTCACCTGCCTGTGTTCTGCCCCTTTACTTCGTCCCCCTGCTACCCCCTGGCCTGGATCTTACCTGCCAAGTCCTTTGATGCCTGCAGAGCCCCTGGCCAGGCACTGCAGTCGGAGTCTTTCAATGGGGTCGGTGGCCGTGGTGAGCTTTTTCTTGGCCTGGATTGCCATCTCTCGATCGTGGCGAGCTGTCCCTGCCATCTGAGAGGAGAATTCACAGCATCTTAGCAGAGCTCGAGCCTCATCACCTGCTTCTGGCTGGGCCAAGGGGTCAGCAGCCTCTTCCCAGAAGGAAAACACTCTCATCCACTTCCCCAGGAAAAGCCTCGAACCTCCCAGAATTTCCAACTTTTGGCTAGACCAACTATGTGCCTGGTGTATTTCTTGCTTACTTATCTAGTCCTGCGGACATCTGACTTCTCCAGCCTGGACAACAGTTATAAATAAACAGCCTTTCCCAGATATACTTTCATCTTGCCGAAACCCTCCTCCTGCCATAAAATGAAAAGTCCCACTTCCCTGTACTATCCTTTTTGAGCCACCCTTCTAGGCTTTATTCTTGTATTTAGCATTCTACATATTCTCTTTGACACCACATTTAGTATTCTCTTCTTTGGTCTAAACATTAATTTTTATTGTTTCTGTCTTGACTGAGATTCTCCACGCTGGGCCTTCATAACTCCTGCCCATAACTAGCAGGTTTTAACAGGTCAGTGTTCGTTGATACCTGGATTCTTAAGACAGAAAATGGTAAACAGACACTCTCTCTCTCCTGACAAATAGATATAATATCTTTTTTTGTCTACAGTTTGGCTTTTGTGTCTTAAATATTCAGAAATAGGAGAGGGTGGGTAAAGGGCAGCTCCCTCCTGAGAGGTCCCTGAGCCAGATACAAACTCCTGCAGTGAGCTTGGGTTTCCAGAACCTGCAGGACAGTGGAAAACACTCTGGGCTTGGGGGCCTGGAGACCCAGGTTCTAGTCCAGACTCCAACCCACTCCCAGTGACATGTGAGTAAGTCTCTGGGCCTCTGGTTTCTCTTCCTCTGTCAAGTGAAAGGATTGGATTAAACGATCTTTCACTTCCTCCCTGTTCCAAAAAGAACTAATCCTCCTATGAGCTCACTGACCCAGTAAATGAGGGATTCTAGAAATTACTTGTCTTAATGTGAGTTGTGAATGAAGGAGCAAGACAGTTGAGGGGTAGGCAGACACAGCATTTAAGTGCAGAAAGGATGGTGTTGGAATGGACCTGCCCTTGGCTCAAGGGCCTCCCCCTCCCTGGCCAAGTGCTGGCACTTCTCCTGAGGGCCACACCAGGAGCGGATTCTTTTCAGCAGGAATAACAACCCTCAGATTCATGCTCTCTGAGGCTATTCCTCTCCAATACAAGCTGTGAGTTCTCCCCACAAAGATGTCATTATTTAACTTTAGAGAGAGGGAATCTCAGACTGAAACCTGAGACCAGAATAGATAAGTCAGGGATAGGAATGCTCATCTGCCTCATTTCCTACCGTACCTCCCAAGAGCCGACTTATAGGTTCCCTCCTTCTTGATCTGCATTCTGATTCCCACGACACGAATGCAACTGGGAGTAATTCTTCTCAGTTCTCTTGGACACCAGGGCAAGAAGGAGGCCTTTGTCTGTTAGGTCTTGGCTGCTTCATTCCACATCAAGAAGAAACTGCTCTGCCCAAAGCTGGGTGGATCCTCCCTCGCTTCCTCCAGCACCGACGGCACAGGTTTACCAGAATTCCAGATGGCCACCCGCCACACTTTTGGAGACCTCCCTCTCCGCTCCTAGCGGGCCTGTACAGTGTTCAAACTCATCCAACAATCTCACCCATGGCCCAAAATCACCTGTCTTCCTGGCAGCATTAGCTTTCTTAAAACCTGCGTTTTCCCGTTACTATTTTGTCACCTGATGTCAAGCTGACAACTCCTGGAACTTGATCCCAGCTTCCAGCCCTAACACCACCCCCATGGAAGGCTTCAGCCACAGTCAGAACCCTCTCCAATACAAGCACTTCCTAGCCTTGACCTTGGGCTGCTAGTGGCACTGGCCCTGGCCTCACCCCACCTGTCCTCTCACCACAGGAGCTGGAATGGAAGCAATCAGCAATCATGTGCCCTCCTCGTTCTTTTTTTTCTTTTTTTTTCTTTTTTTAGATTTTTACTTATTTATTTGAGGGAGAGAATGAGAGAGAGAGAGAGAGAGAGCACATGAGAGGAGGGAGGGTCAGAGGGAGAAGCAGACTCCCTGCTGAGCAGGGAGCCCGATGTGGGACTTGATCCCAGGACTTCAGGATCATGACCTGAGCCGAAGGCAGTGACCCAACCGACTGAGCCACCCAGGCGCCCCTGCCCTCCTCATTCTTAAACCCGCCTCAGGGTCTGCTCCTTCCCCCTCGCTCAGCGCTACCTGCCCAGTGGTTGTCCCCCGCCACTCACCTCCACATCCTCATTTCCACTACTCGCCCCCTGCCTTTTGCACCCTGCCTTCCCCGTTCTGGTTTGCCACACCAGCAACAGTAGGCAGGCAGGGAACGGAGAGACACATAGGCTAAAAACCAGTAATGGGGAGAAGTGAGACCTGGCTCCCATGTGTGTCAGAGACAGCATGAGAAAGAACCCATGTGGGGCTCTTTTTACACACCTTCAAGATAAAATTAAGAACATCAATCGCCAATGTTTATTGTGCCCCCACTACGTGGTAAGTGCGTGCCCCGTCCTCACAAACACCTTAGGAGCGGAATTGACAACAGAAACTCAAACAAATACACATGCATCATGTTCGCAACAGCATTCCTCACAGTAGCCAAAAGGCAGGAACAGCCCAAATGTCCATCCGCAGATGAACAGATGGACAGACTGTGGTTCTGCTTGTCCAAGGCCACCAAGTTTTCAGATGCACTACTTCCATGTGGACCCAGGTTTGGGATCATATTAACACTGCATTATCCTCTACTGTTCCCACGCTCCTGCCTGGTCCTTCTGTGTAATCAGTGTAAACTTGACCCATGGGAGAAGAATCGACTCATTCACTAATTCAACAACTATCTGTTGGGTAGATACTGTTGGTCAGATTCTGCTAGGTGCTAGGAACCCAAGGATGGACTAAGGTCTGTCCCTGTTCCTCGGGAGCCCAGATTTCACTAGCAGGTGGAGAAGGGGATCTACACATGGGTTTTTAGGGTAGAGTGAGAAAAGTACAAGATTAGTGCCTCAGCAGAGAGCCATGGGAATTGGGGAAGTGACCTCAGATCTGGGCCTTGAGGGGTGAGTGGCAATGCAACAGGCAGAGAGCAGGACAAAGCCACTAATGAGAGAAGAAACTGCATATGCACAGAGGCAAGAAAGTAAAGCCAAATAACAGAATATCATTCCGTTATAGAAAGCACTGAGGTATGAACACCACGCTACAATGTGAACGAGCCTCAAAACCATCATGCTAGGTGAAAGAAGCCAGACACAAAATGTCGTATACTGTATGATTCCATTTATAGGAAACATCCAGAACAGTCGAACGCACAGAGAGGGAACACAGACTGGTTGTGGCCAAGGCCTGGGGGAAGGCGGCAATGGGGAGTGATTGTGTAACAGGTATGGAGTTTTTTTGGGGGGGTGGGGGGTGATGAAAATGTTTTGGAACCTGATACAGGTGGTGGTTCCACAACATTACAAATGTACGGTATATTTTTAAATGACTGATTTCATGTTATGTAAATTTCATCTTAATTTAAGAAAAAAAAAAGCCCTATGAGTATTTACAGCTATGATTTCTATTTCACAAATAAAGCAAGTGGGGCACCGTCGGTGTGGCTCCCAGGAATTCACACCCCCCGTTAGGACAGTGAGATGGCCCCGAGCCCCTCCTCCCCCAGCAGACTGGGGAACTAAGGCATAAGCTGGGAAAACAACTTGCTCCAACGTCCTAGCTGACACCCAAACGTAGACCTTCTGACGTTCAAGCAGAGCTCTTTGTACTTCACCACGTTTGTGAAATAAGACAAAAGAATCTCAAAGCACAGTTCGACCCACCCACCCACAGGAGAGCAGGGCAGAGTCCAGGAAAGCATCCTGTGGGTTCTAGCTCCCGCGGCCGACCCTACACAGTGACCACGCACATGGTGACCTCTGGAGGTGACTTTGGTATATTCAGGAAGAAGAAGTCCATTCTCTCCTGTCATGATTCTTGAAACGCCCATGTTGACCATTCGCTTTCATCACTTAAGTTACCCAGTTCATGGACAAACAGCTAGTATGTTCTGTGTGCTGTTTTCAAGTCACAAGTGTCAGAGAGGAAGGATGACTCTGAGAAGCAAGCCCTTGAATAGCGTAGAATCTTAAATTTGATTGAAGATTAACCACTGAAGTCCCATGGTTAAGCAGGACAGGAAACAAAGTTTGGTAAGAACTGGGGGTTTCAAAGAAAGCACAACAGGGAAGGGTTTGGGCGAAGAAGGGTGACACCCTGGGCTTCCGGGGTGTGCATTAAGGCTCCAGGCACCTGGGCAAGAGTCTGTCCCCAAACGTGCGTCACCGACATCACCGCACGGCATTAAGCGTCCCTTGACTGCAGAAGACCCTCCCTGAGCCTCTAGGAGCCCGCCGGATGACAGCAGAGGCGGTCCAGCCCGCCCAGGGCTGGGCCAGGAGAGGATGCCCTCCCCAGGCACGTGGCCGCAGCGCCACCTGGTGTTGGCACCGCATCTGCGCACTTCTCCAACAAATGTTTATAAAGGGCTTAGTTTAGAGCGGGTCACTGGGTTAGACTGGGGAAGGCATAAGAAACACAGTGTTTCCAGAGGAGGTGGGGAGAGAGCAACCCACTACTCAGCCACCGCAAATCAGAAGAGGGTGGCTAACCTGCCTTGGAGCGGAGCTCTCTGAAGACTTCTCAGAGGAGGTGATGTCTAAGCTTTAATCCTAAAGGAAAGAGTGGTTATCCAGGCTAGGGTCGTGGGGGACGGAAGAAGGAAGGGCACTGTGCATTTCCCAAGTGCCAAGGCCCAAGCGAAAGAGAAAGTGGTATAATTACGGACATGCAAGTGTTCTGGCAGGATTGCCGCATGGTGGGCGGGTGGTGAGATGAAGCCGTTGTTGGGATGGGGGGCGGACATGGGAAGGGGAGATTTGGAGAAAGAGAACCCTGGGCAGGTAAGCAGGCAGCAGATCACAAGGAGCCTGGGACACATGCTGG